GGGGAGAGTTAGGTTGGATGTCAGGGGGAAGTTCTTCACAGAGAGAGTGATGAGGTGCTGGAACAGCTGCCCAGAGAGGCTGTGGCTGCCCCGTCCCTAGAGGTGTTCAAGGCCAGGTTGGATGGGGCTCTAGGCAGCCTGGTCTGGTATTAAATGTTGGTGGCCCAGCATGCAGCAGGAGTTTGGAGATTTGTGATCCTTGAGGTCCCTTCCAACCCCGGCCATTCTGCGATTCTGTGAATGGGAACACATCAGCTGTTCCATGTCACAGCTTCCCAGCTACATTCCCTGACACACATCGATTAGAGTTCAGGATCAAGTTCCCCAGCTCACATCATGCCACAAATCAGCCCAGTAACCAGACGCTGCCACCACACGAAGTCCCAGCAGCCGCCCACTGCGTGGCTCCCGACCACAGCACACGACGGACAGGGGCACTCCACTACGCAGCACCGGGCACGGCCGCGCTCACCTCCGCTCCTTCTGCCGGTACATGTTGAGACGGCGGATGGTGGCTCGGTCCCGCATGTTGTTCCCGCCCGCGCCAGCCACGCGATCTGAGGAGAGAAAGCACTGTTAGACCCGGCCGGCACAACTCGGCCCGGCCCGTTACCATGTGATACGACACGCTTAAGATCGCAACGCCGCACGTACCGGGATTGGTGCTGGCGCGGGACGGGTTGATGGTGCTGCGGCCTTTATAGCGTGGCTTCACCATGGTGCCGCCGGGATCGGACCAAGCGGAGACACCGCCGCACTACACGCGCGGCTTTGAGCCGGAAGCAGCGGCACGTGTACTTCCGGCGTGGGGGCAGCGCGATGACGTACTTCCGGCGGCTCCATTTCCCGACTGCGCAGGCGCCCTCAGGTTGCTATGGCAACCGCTAAGCACCGCCTCACACGTCCGGTTGCTACGGCATCGCGTGGGCCTCGCCGCCCCAGGGCCTGGCTCTACTCCCGATACCCGCCGCTACCCATCGTTACCCACCTCTCCCCACCGTTACACATCCCGCCGGAGAGGCCAGGGGACGCCGGTCCCCATAGGGGCTGTGCCCGCACCCACCGCCCGGCTTTGCCCGCCTAGTGCCCGCCGGCTCCCGCTGTGTGCCCGGGGGCGCGGCCTCCGGTTCTCCATAAGCTTTCCTCTGACTTCTTCCCAATCCCCGGCTGTCCGCCCTGGACAGTGAGCAGACTGCAGGCGTTTCAAAGGGCTGTAACAACGAGAGTGCTGGCACGGGAGCCCTCATTGTTTTTGAAATGTTGTTTGTTCACAGAAACATAATAAGAATCATTTGGGAGCTTGGCATTAGGACTTATTTCCATTTGCAGATGAATGCATGCGGTCTGCTGATGCGGGGATGCTGGGGGGAGCGCTGGGGAGCAAGCTGCAGGCAGCGGCGTGCACTGGGGTGTTTACAGGCACAAAGTTGTTTGTCCCGGGCTCCTGGCACCGACTGGTCAAAATCACAAATGACAACACACTCATTTACATGCACGTAAAGAATTGCATGGACCTTGCAACAGTCTAAACGGAATTTTAGGCAAATTACAGTCCTGAAGACTACGCTACGTTCAGCCAGATTTCACTAGAAATTGGAAAGATCCACACCTAGGAGGAATGACCCAAAGCCTGCTGAAATGGTGTTAATTCAGCGCAGAGGTTGGGCTGGGAGCAGGCAGCTCTGCACGCTGGGGAGTCGTTTGCCAAAGTGAAGGTCTGTCCCAGCGTCCCTGAATAGTTATTAGTGGCAGAGAATTCACGGCTAGTTCAATTTCCTCGCAGTTCTGCTAATGCTCTGCTAACTCCAGAACAATAACAGAGCTTCTGAGATTGTGTTCTTTTAATGATTTTCAGCATTTTGCTTTTAGGTAGAGCACGGTTCCTTCTGCACAAAGTAGTCCTAATTAGTCAGACTTCTGAGCTGCTTTGTGAGATGGCAGTCTCGAATTTTCAGTGTGTTTTGTATAAGCCTTTTTTTTCTCTTAATGGAATTATCTGTGCCTCGGGCCTGTAACAAACACAGTGATGTGGGCATAAAAAAATCAATTCCAAATTGTAGATAATTGTTTAAACTATCAGACTCGAGGCTTATGTAGAAGAGTTTTCTCAGGACAAGTGTGTTTTCTATTAAAGTTGATATTAATCTGTCAGAAAATCCTTTTGATTTTCCAATTTTTAGACTAAATAGTTGAGTAATACTCGCCCTGTCCTTCCCCGCTCTTTCTTCCTTCTCCTTAAGAAAACACTCCTTTTATTGTTTGCAAAATATCTTGGAAGGCATCCAGAAAATTGCTGCCTCTTTCTTTAAAAGAATAGTAATAGCGTTAGACACGAGGTTATGTCATGGAGGGCTTTTATTGGTAATGCATCTGAGTTAATCAGAAAATTTCCACTTTGAAAGCTTTGGCACAAGCAGCTTTTTCTCCAGCCTCGCTTATGGTGAGCCCTGTCATCCAAGCCAGAGTGGGCCCCATGTTTTCTGTCGTAAGGAAACATGATGCTGATAACATATGGGAATTGTATTCAGATTGGAAGAAATTCATTTTTTCAGCTGTACCCACCTCTCAAGTTTTTCCAGACTAAACTTACTGAGGCTAACTGCTAGCATTTAACTTGCAGCATCTCTGGAGCTGTGGTTGTTGGACTTGCTTATCAGCTAACATATGGGTCAGATTATTTTATTTTACAACTAATTTCACGTCGCTGTGTGATTCACCAGCTTTTCATTTACCATTGATGCATACTCTCAATGTTTTAACTTTTTTTCTCTTCTTTTTAAGTTACTGGCAGTGAGATGTTGTCCATACCACGTACTGGGTGGGACAGGGGGCTCAGCAATGTGCACCAGGCCCAGCGGATCTGCCAAACACCCTCACTTCCATTGACAAGACCAGCCTGACCACTGCTGAATTGAAAGCATTTGGAATTTTCTGTGGCCTCTTCCTTGTCAAAATCCCAGTGTATGTGGTTATGTGATGCCATCAGAATGACTCACTGCCATAATTGCATATGTTCTAAGGGGTTATTCCCATTGTGTTATTAAAAACTAGTGATGTTTGATTTTTGGCAGGGACTGTCTTCCTTGTATGATCTACAGATTTTGTCAATTAAATGAAAGAAAATGAGATTTCCAAGACTTCAGTACAAGACTGGACTTGTACTCAGAGCACTTTTTCAGTGTGCTATTGAGCTACTTTGCTTCATTTAATCAGTTAAAAGCAACATCAGCCATCTTACTCTCCTTGTTGCAGCGACTCCCTGCAGAGAACAAGGACAGAAGTGAGCTTCATAGCCAGCCTTTAAATGATCCAAAGCACTGCCAGAAGGTACCTCAGGTTATTTATCACACAATCATTTTCTCGACCTGGCGTCTCACAAGTTCATTCTTAAGGATGTAACTTAGAGTGGGAGGCAGTGCTCCTTGGCAAAGGGCTCCAGCTCTGATAACTCCCTAACTGAAAAAAAAAACCAACCCAAGAGCGATCCCAGATATCGTTGCCTTGGATTTTAAGTTCCTAAAATAGCAAATACAAGCAATAGGGGAAAGCTAGAAGGAGGAGATAGGAGAAAAGTGAAAAGAAGCAAAAAGGTGAAAAGGGACTTTGAGAAGCCGAGCTGCTCCGTGTCCCCAGAACTCATCCCTCATAACAAAAGTTGTGCTCAATCCCATGCAGTTCTCATAGACTTGCAGAGCCTTCTGCGTTGCTCTCTGCACTCAGGCTGGAGCTGCAGATCTCTCTCACAGGAATCGTTTACTAACCATCAGAAATTGAAAGCATTTGCATGTAAAGATCTTACTTTTGTGATTTGATTTTGATAGTCTGGAAAAAAATGACTTCCTTTCTGGAAAGCTGCACGCGCTGTATGATGCATCTTAGCCTTGTGCGTCCCTAGATTTCGCATGGCCTTCATCAGGCTACGCCAAAGGGATGGGAAATGAGGCTCTAACCAGCTGATTTTGCTTGTGCTGTAAATAGCCATGTCATCTACCTGATTGTCTCTGTTTTCACTTAGAAAGATGCTACTGCTCTTCTAGAATTCCAGAGATTCTGGCAAGCAGCTCCATCTGTGCCACGGTTTGGCATTCAGTTGGGTATGATATATTATTATCTTTATAAATGCCATTGAAGGGATTTATTGGTGGTGACTGATCATGCAGTGATGGTATTTCTGTAATTTGCCTAGAGTTTTTTTTTTTTAATGTTATCCCTAACATCTCATCCTATGGAAACTATTGACATCATAACACGTGCGAGTAAATATGTGCAAAATATTTCTTCTAATGCTTTCAGACAGCGTTTCAGCATCCCACTACATTTCCTTTCATCAAAGCTAAGATTTCTTCTGAGTGAGAAATGGTTTTAACATAAACATGAATTAAGAAGTGTATACATTGCCTCCACCTCCACAGGAGTGGAAAAGTAGTAAATGGTTGTTTGAGGAGTAGGTGTGCATGCGTGTGACTTGACTGCAGCTGATGAAAAATCCTGCTTTATACAGAGAGGATAAGACCATAATACAGCCAGCCTGTGTTTGGTGCAGTTTGTCTGCCACAGCTCCTAAACCTTGGCAAATTAGATGGAAATGAAACAATTCCAAAAGCGTGGCTGCACGCTGTTAACGCGCCGCCCCTACCCTTCATTCCCTGTTGTTCAGGGAGAATTGCCCCAGAGCTCAGTCAACTGCCTAGCAACTCTCCTGCAGTTTTTCTGTAGGTCTGTCCAGTGGTTCAAGAGTATCAACGAAGATCTTTTCTATGCAAAGAAACTTCTGAAAAAGGAGCAGCCTGTCTGTCTGCACACCTAGCAACTATTTCTCCAGCACCACAAGTGTCAAAGTGTGGAACATGGATGCACGTGGAATCCAGAGCAACACTTCTGTGCCCTGACCCCTATGGTCATGGATGGAGGTGGGTGGGAATGTGACTTGAGGAGAGACCTTCTCACTCCTGCTTTCTAGCTAATTTCAATCACTACGGGGTGAATAAAGCAAACAGAGCTTGTTCAGCAAACCCATTTATTTATTAATGTGTTTAAAGAAGCATATTTTACAGTGATGCCACGGAGAGAACACCACAACAGGTATTATTTGGTGGACTGAAAGAGAGCAGTCGTGTGGCTGTGAGTTGAGATGACATCAACCTAAGGCAATCTCTGCTTTGGACTGTTGAACTCAGCGTGCAAACCACGTTGGTCAAAGGCAAAATGCTTCTAAGCTCTTCAATGAACCAGCTCTCTGAGAGTGGGAAAAAGCACTATTTTTAAGCTGATTTAAAAAAAAAAGAAATTTGACTTTTTCATATTTTCCTTCTAAGTTTTCTAAATTTCATCTTCAACCATCCATAGTGAAAAATCCTGATTTTCCTAATACACGTTTTAAACTTTCCTTTGCCTTTCTCCCTCTTTCCTCCCATTTTGCTATGAAAAAAAGAAAAAAAGAAAAAAAGGAAGAAAAAAGGGAAAAGGGTGCAACAGAAAGAAGTTCTTCAGTTTTTCTAAAAACTCTAGAAATGTCTACAAGATATGCTGTGTTGATTTATTATATGCAGTTGAGTGTTGAAATATTTGTGCTAGTATTGCCATGAGTTACTGTAGGGAATGCAGTTAGTTAACAGAGCCTTAGTGTCTAAAACCTTACTAATGCACTCTCTCTTCTCTTTAATCCTTATTGAGAACTGGATTGAGATACTGAAGCAGGAGGGAAGGAAGAGGAGTTCCTGAATTAGCAAGCTGAGGTTTGTGAAAGGGTTACTGACTATTGCTGCAGAAAAGCGGAAGGGAAAAATGAGTTTGCTTACATGCAGTGCCGGGTTGCAAACAAAATACTTATTTCACAGGCTAGCTGAGGCTGGAGAGCAAAATGAGATCTGATCTTTCAGCTGGGAGGCCTTCAGGAATCGTCTGAACAAGATCCATAAACAACTGGAAGGATGACTTTAAGAACCTCTCTCTCTCTGCTTGGTATGCTGCTCGTTTATCATTGTGCTGAAATGGAATCCCCTTTAAAAGATATAACGGCTCCCTGTTTACTTAAACACAAAGTGGATGATGGGCTGAAAGGTTTTGCTGCCAGTGGAGCAGCCACGGAGAGCTTGGTACAGCCCTGGAGCTGGAACAACTATGCAGCTCCCACGTTCTGAGCTAAGCCAAAACACCGGGACCTGGTGGGGAGGCACCCACCTCCACACGAGGCAGAGGTGGTGCAAAACAAGGGCAGCAGGACTCGGCTTTGTCAGGTTTAGCTCTGGAGTGAGCTTTTCCCTTCCCCTTTCCCTTCCTGGGGAGCCAGGAGCTCTGGCACATTGCTGGGGACCGTGGCACCTGCCCGGCTCCATCCCTTGCAACAAAAGGAGCTTTGCTGAACTCTAGAGGAACGAAGGGTCAATATTTATATTGAGGAAGCACGTTTTAAAATAGCAGGGAAATGGAGCAATGTGCCATGTTGTGGCACGGCCAAGGGCAAGGCTCCCCATGCAGAGAAGCCCAGTGAGAAGCGTGCGCCCGCTGCAGCCTCGCCAGGTCCCCACTGAGCACCATGCTCCTGGTTCCTCTGCCTGGTGCCAATTCTTGCAGAGCAGAAGTGTTTGTGCTGAGTCCAGGAGCTTCCCATTGGTGACATGGAGACTGGTGGCTCCTACCAAACTTAAACACTTTGCAGAGCATGAGCTTTGCCTTCCCCCTCCCACCTTCACTCCCTCCTGCTGTGCATTTGGGTGGTGGTGGGACAGATGGACGAGCCTGTCCCTGGCCAGGAGCAGAGCCTGGGAGCTGTGCCTACAAACAAAATCACAGCATTTTGCAGCCTGCAGCTTGCCATTAGCTCTCATTGTCTCAAGCCAGGTCCTTGAATGGCGACTTCCTCAGGGAGCAGCGCAGTCCTGTGAGGGCAGCAGACTGAGCTCTGGCTGCAGCACAGCCGGCAGCATTCACTGGGATTTTCTTAAAGCTTTTGTCAGTTTCCCTTCCACAAATGAGTCTCTGTCCTGTGGGACACCAGCCTCCATAGGGGCCAAGGCATGAACCACACACTCAGGAAGCCGGTTGTCGTCTTGGTTGTTTTGTTTTGTTTTTTTTGTTTGTTTGTTTTTTGCTCTTTTTTTTTTTTTTTTGTTTGGTTTTGCTTTGCTTTTCATTCCAAATAACTCTTTGAAGCAGATTCAGGGCAGATACCACTGACCTCTTACCACAAACGTTTAACATGTATTATTCTCAATGATAAAGTCATACAGCTTAAAACACAAAATAAAGGGGTGGGGGGGTAGAGAAAGAGGACACTGCCTTCGTGTGAATCCAGTTCCCCAGTCTGGAAGAGCAGAAATCCAGTCCCCGTGGCTGGCTGGGCACGAGGCAAGTGTCCCGTGGCCCCATGCCCCCATCCTTGGTTCATCCTCACCTCTGGTCCCGCAGTGTCCCACTGCCCCAGTGGATGCCATCCGTGGTGCTGGGGTTACCGCCTCCTTAAGTGTTGTGGATGTGGCTTCTGTCGAGTCTAGTCTAGGAGTATAGCTCTGTCTTTCTGACGTGTGTAATGTTGTGTAGCAGTGCTCTGGTTCAATAAAGCTTTCATATACATAGCAGCAATGAAGTCTTGCCATCAGGTGACGTAAAGGGGCAGCTATTGGGCAGGGCTGGCGGCTGTGGTGGGGGCCACAGCCCCTCTCTGTTTGCTCTTCCTCTTCTTGGTGCCAGACTTTGCATCTTTGGTGTCTTTCCGATTTCTGTTCCCATTTGTATTATCTTGCTTTCCTTGCTCATCCTTTTTCTTCCTTTTCCCTGCAACAAAGCAAAAAGCAGCAAAGGAGGATCAGGCCTGGATCTGTCTTTGCAGTTTCCAGCAGGACTCCTGATGCATGCATTTCCCCGCTGCTGCCCGAGGCCTTTTGCTGTCACACTGCTGCCTGCGTTGCTCGCAGCCAGGTGGGGCTCATCCCTCCCTGCTCTTACTCACTGCTCAGAACCGGTTCCCCTCCAAGCAGCCAACCCAGCCACAATCCTGTGCACCCCATAAGAGGATGACCAAGCCACCATTCATCCTATTGACACTGCATTTCCAGGGGAAAGCACAGACCTCAGCACTCCCATGAAGGAGGCGACAACTCCCATTGCTGCAGCGCACAGAGATTGCTCAGCTGCCTCGTTTGCTAAAGTACCCACATCCTGCAGGGCAGGCAGCACGCCATAGGGCCAAGGGGCTGCCCAGATGCTCCATCCCATTGGGGTCCCTCTGGGGTCCCTCCCCATTAGGGAGTTCTGCACCCTAAAACAAATCACCCACGCCATACAGAGGTGGTGGGATTTACATTTACAGCGCTGGACCGTTAGGCTGAACACTGCCACCTAAAGAGGTGCTGGGGGAAAGGAGGCAATGCTCCACACTCACCTTCGGGGCATTGGCTCTTCTGCACAGTGCATCTGCGCACCTCCGTGGTGGCGGGGCACAGGGACACGTCCCCAGAGGGAGCCTGCAGGATCCGCCGCGTTCGGTCCTCGTTCCCCTTCTTGAAGCCACACAGCTTCCTCTTCTTGGAGCAGGGCCCCCAGGGCCCCCACTCACTCATTTCACATTGTGCTGCCAGATAACAAGAGAGGCCAGAGGTATCTCTCATTTCTCTCTGCTGCACCTCTGGGAGCCCTCCCGCCCCTCTCCCAGTGGAGCCAGAGCAGTGTGTGCATTTCCCCAGCAGTTCCCAGGTTTCTTGGCACCCCCTTTCCTACCACACCATGAGCTCCGAGTGCTCCAAAAGCAATTTGCATGAATATTGCAGTGCCCATCCGTGCTGTGCCCAGCCAAGGGCTGTGTACAAAGCTGCCTGAAGCATTTCCCGTTAGGCACCAACACAGCATCCCCGAGGGGTTGGTTTGATCACTTAAACCAACTTGTAGCAATAGATGCATTGAAAGCTCAGTGTTGCTTACCAGGACTGCTGCACTCCATGGTGCCATTGGCAGCAGAGTAGCCTTCAGGGCATGTGACGTAACATCTCCCTTTGTGCAAATACAAACCTTCCTTACATTTTGTGCAAAAGTTTCGGCTGAAGCAGGACTCACAGTTCTCGATTTTGCATTCTGGAGGGAAAAAAAACAAAACCACAAAGTCGTCACGAAGCCTGACGCAAACAACTGCTGGCAGCCCTGGTGAGCAGAGCAGCACACAGGAGTTGTGATTCACACTGTGTGCGCGCTTGGGCTGAGGCTGCAGCCATACAAGGGGTTGAGTGGGCAAGGAGCAGGTGTGGGCAGAGGCATCATTGAGCACCAAAGGCTCAGCGAGCTCCAGACAGTTCCCCACAGTTTGCTCCTGGCTCCACTGAGAGTCTCTGTGTGTCCTGCCAGCCCTGCTCATGCAGATTGCTCGGATGCTGGTTTCCTCTGAGCTGCTCCCTGCTGCAGGACAGAGCCACTACGCTGCAGTAGCTGCCAGGTGGACGTCAGGCAGGGTGGAAAAGGTTTGGGCTTGTGTTCAGCTCGAGCATCAGTCTGCCAAAGTGGGAAAGTGCAGAGAATAAAGCCCAGTGTCAGCTGCTCCAGCTGCAGCTCCAGCATGTGCAGCAAAGAAAGCGAGCTGGATGGAAACCTGGCTGTGAGGTGGTTTGCATAGAACTGCCAGGGAAGTGATTGTGTTTTTCCACACCAAGCTTCTTTCTGGTGCTTTGGCCCAACGAGGCAGAGCTGGGCTGAGGATCCCCGTTCAGAGAGATCGTTTGTTATTCAAATGGGCAGAGAGAAGAGCAGGTACTTGTGCCAGCACTGCTCCTCCTGCTCCCTTCCAAAGACGAGGGGTGTCAGCATCCCTCTCCTCCAGGATCCCACATCATTGCACCCGTGTGGGACGGAGGGCACTGTGATAGAGCAGTGCAGCCCTGCACACTGCTGGTGACACACTTTGCTTTCACGGACGATCCATTCACTGCTACCCCTCCCCACAGCACGGACAGGGACTTGTGGAGGATCTCAGTGCTGATACTCACTGATGCACTTGTTCATGTCTGTATTGCGAAGGCCGAAGTATCCCAGTGGACAGGATGGGAGGCAGATCCCAATTTGCCGGATATCGTTCCTCTCCAGAAGGATGAAGAGCTTGGGGGAACATCTCAGGCACCCGTTGAACTCAGAGCACAGGTCGCAGCCCCTGGCACAGCCCTGGCTCAGCTCAGTGCTAACTGCAAGAGCAGGAGAGAGGCAGTGGTGAGACGGGCATCGCTGCTGTGCAAGAGCCTCTTTGGAGGGCAGCCAGCAGCTTCCTGGAGACAAATCCCCTTCTGAGGAAAGCTGCCATAAATATTTGATGCAAAGTACGAGTTCACGTCCTGACACAATTGCTGCCCAGAGAGAACAAATCAAACCCAGCTCAATAATTCATCAACCCTGTCCCTGTGCGTGGCTTTGCCTGGGGGATGCCTTGGTCACCCTGCTCTGCCTACAGCTCCAGCACCACCAGAATCAGGGCTCAAAAGCAGCCACAAGCTGCAAGCAGCATTCAAGCAGGACATCACCATACCAGGGGCCAGACATCAGTACCACCCCAGGCACCTCTGGGACAAGCAGGGGACAGAGCCACACAGAGACAGAGGGAAACCATCTCCAGAGAAGCCTGCCTCGTACTTCTTGTCAGGCTGAGTCCCAGCTCTGTCTCACCATGACCCCTCTGACGCTCGCTCTATCTGGCAGTGCAGGAGATTTCTCTGCCCCCAAAATAGAGATGTGTTCCCAGCTCCTAAGTTTAGTCCAAGAAAAATTCTCAATCCCCTGTCTTGAGAGTTTTCTGCTTTTAATTATCATATAAAATGCTGCTTGTTTTGAAACCCATAGCATTCTTTGCAGGCTAGAATGCAGGTTCTTTTTATTAGTTTATTATGCAAGCAGTGTCCTTGTTTATAGAAAGACTGTGTATGTTAAAATGTATTCTTTTAAATGCCGTGTTTACTACACTTCAAAAGCAGGAGTGGAGCACCAGAGCATTCCCAGGCCAGACTAAGTGTTGGAGAGCTCTCCTTGCCCTCCTGCAGACCCGAGGTTCTGCACGCTCTCTGCTGCCTGTCCTCACCCTATAACTGGTCCCAGCTCACCTGCAGGGTGCAGAGGCAGCTGCAGCCTTGGAAGAGGAAGCAGAAAGTAGAGGCACCCCTCGCCTGGGATCCTGCATTGCCCCGATCCCAGGAGGCTGCTCCACGTCTGGGCTGCGACCTCCATGCTGTGTTTGGGGCTGCAGGCCCTTGGGGTCTGGCCCAGTCCCTCCCCATGGAGCTGAGGTCTGCCTCTGTGGCAAACGCATGAGCCGAGACTCGCTGGGAGCCACGCTAATAACATTAGCCATGACATCCAGCTTTCCCTGTTCTCACGGAGCTCCAGCAGTCAGTTTTAACATAAAATCATTTTTATATAATTCAATTTAAATCAGTTCTAATGTAAACCAGTTCTAAAACGAGCTTGCATAAAGGAGGAGAAACCCATGGGGCCGCTCTTGTGCCTTTGGAGTCAGTCGAGTCCCTGGGTGGGGCTGCCCAAAGCCTGCCCTGGTAATTAAAACCCGCACTTCCCATGCACCTCAGGTTGCAGCTGGATGGGGACAACCAGGAGAAGAGGGATTGCAATGGGCAGCAGCCTGGGACAAGGGGAGCACCCGGACCTCACCAGGCTCCAAGAGGCTGTCCACGTATGGGCACATATTCCTGGTCTAATCGGGCAAACACTCCCATTCTGCACAGGCAAACATTCACTATTTGCATGGACAGGCATTCCCAGTCTGCATAGCATCAGGAGAAGGAGAGAAGGGAAATGTTTCATACATACTTCGCCTTTGCCTCTTGCCCTTCACCACTTTGCTGCCGCCTGTTAGATCCATCGAGCTTAGAAAAACCACCACCACAAACAGTCCAAGCTGCATAGTAACTCTCCAGCGCCGCAGCCCTGTAGTGCAGGGTGATCAGAGTCCGTGGCCACTAAAACCTCCTGGGCTGGCTCAGAGCTGAGAGTCTGTGTGCGACGCCTGGTGCAGGACCATATCCACCAGCTACCACTGCAGCAGCAGAGACCTTAGGTAGCAGGTAACATGGTTCTACCTTCATCCCCATATGGAGCGCAGGAGCTCGGGTCCAGTCCCATCGGGGGGTCGGGCAGTCAGCGTTAGCTGCTCGGAGTTTCCACGTGCAGGTGCAGGAACTGGAAAGAAAGAGGAGAAGGGATTAAGTCTAGTGGATGACAAACACCGGTCTGCATCGTTCCCGTACAAAGCAGATTGGGTTGGCATTGCAGGGAGTCACAGAGCAGAACTGGGGGAGCAGTGCATGGGGGGAATCCCTCTCCAAGCCCATCTGCAAGTCATTGCTTGGCATAATAACAGCACATGGCTTTCCTAGGGAAATGCCTGATGTGGTCATGCCATCTGCTGATGCTGCACATGGTTGTAGCTCTAACATGTTTATTGTAGTGCCAGTGCTCCTCAGCAGATGGTCGCTGAAGGCTGCCAGGAGCACAGGATGTTTCCCATCAGGTGGGCACCTCTGGGGACTGGGAGTAGAGTTGGGCACGGAGTGACCCTGAAGAGCTTGGGGACTTGTCTCCAAGTTTGGGGATGGGCCAGGATTGTCCTGGACCTGCTGAAACGTTGCAGTTCTGCTCTTAGAATGATTGCAAACTCCTGAGCTCCCCTTGGAGCAGCACTGACACAGCTGTATGCTCAGCATCAGCCAACAGACATGCTAAGAGCAATGAGATGTGCAATCAGGACAGGTGATGTGTTTCTCTGCTTAAAGTATGGGAGAAGAAAAAAAAGCCCAATGCAGAGGTCTGTGGGATGCTGAGCTGTTGCAGTGATGCCAGACCCAACCCATGGTGTGCAGGGATGCTTGCAGTTCTGCTAGGGGAGCAGCACTGTGCTCTGCTCTGGGGAAAGGCCATGAGGGTGGCTTTGTGTGCACCGGGAGTGGAGGAAGTGTGACTTCCAGGCTGAACAGAAAGCTCTGACCCAGCACAACGCGGCTGTGCTCCTCTCTACGCAGCTGACAAAACACAGCCCGACCAACTGTTGCCATTGTGTGGGAATAAAGGTGACAACATTCACTCTGTGAGGTCAGTGGAAATAGAAAATGGTTTTAATCCCCTTATAATAACTGTGCCCCGAATGGGCAGCAGTGATGGGGCTGGAATAATGCCCAGTTGCAGCTTGTAGCATTGGGAAGGGGTGCAGGACCCCACGTTCAGCCATGCTGAGGGGTCACCCTCCATCCCACAGCACACCTGGATCCCATGGCTGGAGAAACCATGGGAGCCATCCAGCTGGAAGCAAGCCCTGTGCCCAGAAACATGCTTCCTGCACCCCAGCATCGACACTGAAAGCCCACGAGCAATCACACAAATGATAGAAAAGCTCTTCAATGCCTCTCACAGCAGCAGTAGAGGGGAAGCTGCTGGAGGAAGCATCCCTTGCAGCAGTGCAGCTAGATGCTGAGATGAGTGGGAGCTTTGGGGCACTGCTGATTCCAAGCACACCAACGCTGCTGGGAGGGCACCAAAGGGCGCTGCTGGCATCCTGACAGCTTTGAACTTTTCACTGTATTCGTCCTGCAGATCCCCTGAGAGCTGCTGGGGCAAGAGCACAGCGCTGCCCATGTGCTTGTTGTTACAGCCCACAGCATCATCCAGGGGATTTTCAAATAAATAATTAGGCGCTTGTGTAAACACCAACTTGTTCTGCACTTCCCAGCCTGTTTGCTGCAAGCTGCTTTATAAACACTGTCAAGTGCTTAAGCTGGGCTGTTTGGGAGTGTTTACCAGAGAGGAGATCTGTGCAGAGATCACACCGTTGAGCTGCTGCAGCCTCTCCATGTGCAGCATTCATTGGCATGCACAGAGAGGTGAGGGAGTGTGGATACTCAGCATGGCACAGCACAGCACCATATGGCACAGCCTGGCATAGCATGGTATGGCAGGGTACAGCATAGCACAGCATGGCACAAAATGATGTGGCACAGCATAGCATGGCACAGCTATATAATCAATGGATATTAAGATGCTACAATCACAAAATAAACAAGAGACTTAGGCAAAGTAGATTACGATAACAAAAGCGAATAAATGGAAGGCTTACCCTTATGCTGGGCTCACTACAAAACACCAGAAGGAGGGACCTCCAGACAAGATCCTTCCCCTCTGGTGGCCAGCTCTTAAATAGGTCTAGGAGGGGTGCAGCCTGGCTCCACCCCTTCCTGCAGCACAGGTGAATTGCCTTCACCTGTGCTCCTCTGGCTGGCTCATGGCTCGCCTCAGGTGATCAATCAGAGGTTCAGGCCGTGACTCAGTAGTTCCCATACACACAGCCCAACATGGCACGGCGTGGCACAACACACGGCATGGCACAGTATGGAACAGAATAGCACAGAATGGCTTGGCATGGCAAGGCACAGAATGGTACAGCATGGCATGTTGCAGAATAACATGGCATGGCACGGTGCAGCACAGCACAGCACGCCAGGAGGAGCTCAGGGATGCTCACCAGCAAGAGCAGAGTTGTGCCAGCGCAGCAGCACAGAACAAACTCTTCCCAAATTAGTGCTGAAAGCTGCACCAGCAGAGCACTGCCACCGCTGCTCCGACTGCACTGCTGCTAATCCCTGCAGCGTGAGGGTGACGCGTGTCCCAGGAAGTACACGCTGAACCAGCTCTGTGTCCTTTGCTGTTTACACAACAGTCAAGGTACGGACAAACCTCTCCCGGTGCGGGGACAGCAGCGGGGATGCTCTCAGGGAGCAAACACTGCGCCTTGTGCCAAGAGCCAGCGTGAAGCTGTGCCTCAGCTGCACAAGTGCAGGGGCAGGGAGTGCCATGGGAAACCCAGAGCTCTGAACGTGAGCATTTTCTCCTCATCATCTCCTAGCTGTTGTGCACTTTCCACGTTCATCTGCCTCCGTGTGCCCATGGTTTGCCCAGTGGGAGAGGAGCTGAGATCCCAGCACTTCCCACCCTCAGGACACAAATTATGATTCTTTACGCTATTCCAGCCATCAGTCAAGCTCAGGTTGCTGCAAACAATTCCCAGTCTAAACATTAGCAGGATTTATGCCATTATCCCATCGACAGGAAGAATTTAGGGTAACCCGAATTACTCTGAATTCATTTATGGAGAGACCTGGCCCCTGCATCTGCGATGACAGTAAGCCTTGTTTGCAATTCAATCAGGATAAATTGGTCCTTGGGAGATCCGATACAAACCAGAAAATGTAAACCATCCAGATAATTTGCCATTAGTCCTCCTACACACAAGGTGAGAAAGACCAACATTATATCCCCAGGATATTCGAGACCTAATCCACAATAACTAAATTGCTGATATATTGCCTCTCGCTGGATGTATCAGGCTATCAGTAATGTAAACGGACTCTCCAAAGGTTTACTGAAGGGGGAAGAGAAGGACCAGATGTTGGGTGAGGGCTGGAGTCAGGACAGCAGCCGGGAGCTGCCCGTGGGATGCTGGACAAAGGAATTTGAGTTTCCACATCCTTGAGATGGGCAGATAATTTGGATTTCACCTTGGCAGCCTCTTTGAGGGGCGTAAAGATACCAGGAGACCAGATTGCATCCATTTATTCTGCTTGCCCAATGATGATGTTCCCAATTTCTGCTGCAGCAGGGCTAGGTCCCACCAGGTGGGACATCACCAGCTGGAAAGCAGGCATCTTTTAAACAAGCAGAAGCCCACACATGCGTTTATCTCACCACATGCCTTACCTTCCCTTGACAATGAGATATCTGAATCTCATGGGCTGTGCTGGGGCTGGGGCCTGGCTGCAGCCTTCGGGGGGTCAGAATTCAGCACACTACCCAGGTGCAGGGACCAAAGTCCCATCCGGCACCTGCAGAGCTCATTGCATCAGAGCTGAGCACAGGCAGGAGGAGGACAGAGGGCTGAGCACCAGAGAGCAGCTCAGCACCAGGACTCTGCAAATGCAGAACTACACCATGCAGAAGGCAGGGGCAATGGGTGAGGGCTGCAAGGTGCAATAGCAGCAGCAACATCAAACGCTCCACCCATCTCCGAGCCTCTGAACAGCTCGCTCCCATCACCAGTGAGGGCCTGAAGTGCAGAACTGGCACTGCAAAGACCATTTTCACCAAGAGCACATCATGCTCATTGATGGGAACCCTCTTACTGCCTTTCCGAGGGCAGTTTTCTCTGCAGCAAGGCAGAGAACAGCAACGTGCTGCACAAGAAGTGGTTTTGGAGCACCCCATGCATGCACGACTTGGGCATTGTGCTCAGCCCGCGAGTGGCCCTGCGCAGCGCATGTAGAGCCACTTTGTTCTGCCTAATCCCTGAAGCAATAAAAGAAGGCTGCATTAAGTCAAATTTCCGAACCAGAAGGTCTTCATTTGATATTATATCCGAGTGCCAAGTTTTGCAAAATCCCTAACCCATAAACTTCACTGAAAAAATAAAATAATAAAAAACAATCTGGCAGCGGCGTTCTCCACAGCATTGTTGAGGTCTGACTCCTTCCACCAGCTTCTGCACTGCATTCCCCCGTATCTCAGAGCCGTGCTTTGACCCCGTAAGTGGGGAACACAGGGAACAGTTTCCTGCCTGCGGGTGCCCCTCTTCCAGGTGGTACCACGTATCCCCAGCGCCCGCTCTGCTCTGCTTGGGCACCTTGCACAGTGCCCAGCACAGTAGCAGCTCTGAGTACGACAGCAATTACTGGTGCCACAGCCTTCGCTCCGGGAGCGCTTGTGCTCAGCATTATAAAACGCCAGGAAATGTTTTGCTGGGGGATTTCCACTGCCCTTCTCGCTAGCGCAGGCAGACGCGGCTGTGGGCTGTGCCATGCGGCTGCTCAACCTCCAGAGCAGCTGGCAATGCATTGAGGCCATCCCAACGTCATTGCAGAGCTGGAGCTTGCCTGAGGGCTTAGATGGGGTCGCCAAAAAACCCAGTGTGGTTGATTTAACTTCACAACAGAAATCCAGCCTCCCCCAGGTGACAAGCAGGGACCTGGTGCACTACAACAGGAGCAAACCAAAGCAAAATTCAGAGCAGGAGTTCCAAAGCAGACCGTTTCAGACCATAACAAGCCAGGTGGGCTCTGAAAACCAGAGCCTTCCACCAAAAGAGCTCCTCAACAAACAGCCCCGGGAGCTGCATTGCTGCACAGCGGGGTGCTGAGTTTCACTGTCAGCGTGGCCAAGCAAGGGCTGACAGCGATGTCATACAATTGACTCTAAATATATGGTTTTTAAAAGCAAACTTCCAGGGCTTACAGGAGCCCAATGAGTCACAAGCTACTGTGTAAGCAGCTTCTCCAGGAGAAGGCAGAGAGCAAACCCAAGGCAAAGGCATGGAGCAGCACCGAGGGCTTTCTGCTCAGCCATAGGCAGTGGAAGCATCACTAGGCTCCCTGCAAGGACCCCCCCGTGCTGCCTCTCCTACTGACATGGCACCACCTGGGAAACCTGAGCCTCACACGTTTCAGGAGCAGAACGAAAAACACAGCAGGGAGAAAACAGCCAGCAGCCTCAGCGTGGGGCATTGCTGCTGCTGTGCTGGCAGGAGGCAGTGAGCAAGGCAGCCCCAGGTTTCAGCTATTGCTGCAAATGCATTTGAGCTCTGTGACTGAGGGGATCACAGCATCTCATGCCCCGAGGCAGTGGGACCAGCACTGAACTCCGCAGAGCCTGACATAACACAGGGTGGTTTGCAGTGAGGACTTTCTGCAGTCACAGGGGATCATCCCCATGGACACTGTGGACATGGCTGCAGAGCTGCCTCTAGAAGAGGCTGCAGGCAACATGGGCACCTCTATGCTATGGGAAGCTGACAGGTGACCCTGCTCTCCCTCCCCTCTGCTGTCCCTTGGCATGCTGTACTTTATATCCCCTCTACCTTTTGCTTTATCAGCAGCCCCGTAGCTCAGGCAGAAAGGTGCTGGTTCAGCTCAGGTCCAGCTCAGGTGATGGGAACACGGAGTTTTGCTCTGTGCCCTGCAGCCACCTGTGCATGCCGCGTTATTTGGGGTGTGTTGGTGGGGTGGCAGCCCCGTCTCTGCAGAGCGCTGCTCGCTCCCTGCCGCGTCCCTCAGGGTGGTGCTGCTGCTCTCACAGTGAGGCTGGGTGCACATCCAACTGCAGGGAGCCTCGTCCCCAGGGGGGCTTCCAGGCATGGCTCAATGCCTGCATCCCACACAGCCATCACGTCCTGGCCCTGGGTGGGCAGGTGGAGTGAGCTGGCAGGGAGGAGCACGGGGTTACAGGTGGACTTCAGGCAAAATAACTCAGGCTGGATAGTGCTGCAGGCAGAGGTTTTGCTGCAAATATTGGGTCCTCGTGGGTCTCAGCAAAAGCCTGGCCACCAAACAGCACTGTTAAACACTGCCTCAAGATCCCAGACCTTCAGCTTGCGTGGTTATCTGCACCAATGCCCAGCAACCTGTGCAAAGGAGATCAAAGGCTCCATCCTGCCACACTGTGCAACATTGCTTCCGCCGGCACTGCCCTGCTGTAGTGCCTTTTTCTGTAAAGCATTCCTTTAAGCCCAAACCTGAACAACTCCTTGCCCATCTCAAGGCGAACGCACGTCTGAGCCTATAGAAACCATAGAAGCCCAAGGATAAAAACTTCCCGGTGTCAGCAACACGCTGTGCCCTGGCTCTATAGGTGTGCAGGACCACAAGGACGGGTCAGACCTGGCCGTGACCTGGGTTGGTGCTGGGGACACCCAAGAATGGAGCGGTGTCCCTTCCTGCCCATGGGACAGAGCCTAACCCGTGGCTTGCCCACCAGCACCCAGACACAGCAGCACTTCCCCTGCACAGCGGCGCTGGATGTTAACTCTGATGTCTAATTATTCTCACGATCACTGCTAACCATTTTCTTACCAATCCCACACCCCAAAACCCAAGGAGCACACACTTACCCCGCACTGCTCGGCTGCCTGCTGCGTCCCCATGGGTCCCGTCCTCTGGAGCAGGCAGTTTTGCATGCAGCAGGACAGTATCGAGGCAGTAATTACTTAATGGGTCAGTTCCCTCATTGCAGGGCACAGGCACGCTCCTCTCCGCCAGCCACTGGGACAGCAGCAGCACACTGAGCAGCTGTGGGACCACAAAGCCAGCCCTGAACCCGGCACCAGCAGCACACCGAGCTGCACATCCGACAGCACACCGAGCTGCACACCAGGCAGCGCACCGAGCTGCACGGCTCGCCCCTCCGTTGGGGAGCTTTGCAGCAGCACGGGGCAGAGCAGCAGCCCGGCTCCTTTGCGCAGCCCCTCTCACCTTGGGGGTGGGGGATCCCGACAGATCGGGCTGTGATTTCTCACAGCTTTCATTGTCTGAACTCATTATCCGCGTTGCACAAGGCAAACCCGCAAGTCGGATGCTGACAAGGCTCGCGTTCCTCATTAGCAGCCCACATTGCAAAAGCTTCATCTAAACAAACATGCATTCTGAAACCCTTACCTCTGACTTGTCACTCCCTCATCACTGCTGCAAAGGCTCTACTGGTTTTAAACCACTACCAGACCAACTACAAAAATCCTCAGTTCCTCCAGCGAAAGTTACGTGCGCGTTTCTGTCAAAAAAATACAAAATACTTTCATGGCGAGTTCATGGAGCAGGCTGGTGCTCTTGGGTCTGGGGGCTCTGTTCACGTGTCTGTAAGCAGGTTCCTAACAGCATCCCAGGCTTTGCGCAGAGAAACAAACCCTTCTGTGATGTGCAGGATTTCAGCTCGTAAAGATCGCCCAGGCTAGTTCATACTCCATCAGCCCACGCTGCTCCCTGTGTATGCAAAGCAGAAAGTATGTGATCATATCAGAGCAATTTGCACATTAATAAATCCAGGTCTCAATGCCGTAGACTCCATCCCCATCCACCAGGTAGGGGTTTTTTATTATTATTATTACCAGAGTATCCAGCTTTGTAAAGGCATCTAGTGCAAACTCCTGCATGAGGGAATTCCACCCCACTAGTACCACCTCCTAAGACAATATCCAGCCAAAATATTGTGACTGTTGCAAAACCCGGACTGGAGCTCCACAAAGGACCTTCCAGCATTGCATCCAGAGCCAACGGGGTCTCAGTAAATTACTGCAGAGTGACACAACATCTCGTTTTCTTTGTAGTCTTTTTTATTTATGACAGTTAATTCCGAGTTATTACTAACATTTCAGTGGTAACTGGCATATGAAGTCATCAGCTGTCACAACTGCATCTGTTAATAAACATGTCAGATATTAAAAGCAGCTTATTATTCTCCGGAGGGGGGGGGGGGGGGGAGACATCGAGCTGATGAGCTTTACAGCCTGGTTATTTTTCCATCCCTGTAGCTGTGCAACAGGAGGAAACGCTCACACGTGGGAAAGCACCATCCTCGCCATGGGGCTGTGCTGCTCCCTGCCCCGAGCCCTGTCCCCTCTCCTCCTCGCTGTGTCCCTGCTCCCTTTCATCTCCTTAACACAGGAGTGACATGGGACCAAGTGCTCTGCATGGGGCATGTGTGCAGGGGAAGGGTGGCACCTCCCCAGTGTCCCCTGGAGCCACCATAACCGGTGGGCTGGTCAGGATGCAGCTGGGCAGCACCCAGCACCTTCCCTGCCTGCACCTGGCTGTGCCTGCTGCAAAGGAGGACCAGGAGAGCGTGGGCAGCAGTGGTCCCCAATGTCAACAATCCTCACCCTTGTTTCTGTGGGGCAGACATGGTGCCAACCACCCTGGGTTCATCCCCCAGCTCTGGAGCCAGAAGTCGGGGTCTCTAGCCCACTCCCACCCATAGCTGGCTTCAGGGGGACACTCAAATGTTATACATGGGACAGCAATGCCATACCAATGTCTCCTTTCCCATTCATCTCCACCATCCTCAGCACATGAGGATGCAGCATGTCTTCTTCCTGTCTGACTCCATGGCCCTGCCTAAGGCTTTCCTTGTCATAATGCCTCTGCCTGTCCCCATCCAGAGGCAATGTTGTGGTCTTTGAGGGGTGATGTCAGCAGTGACACCATCCAAACTTTCTATGTGCAGGTTAGTTGGAATCACCCAGCAAAGCAGTTCCCTCGCTGCCCAAACGTGTGACTGCAGTGAGCAGCAGCCCGTGGAGCTGAAGAAGGCAATGCACCAAATGCTCCATCTTTGCTTTCCCCCTTCCGGCCACCATTCGTCCTCCAGCCATCAATTCTGTGCTACAGTATTGATCTGAGCCAGGAGACAGCAGATTATCCCCAGAAACCACTCTCAGTGGCTGGATGAGAGATGGATGTGACGCTTGCTCTAGTTGCAGCGCTGTTAATGAAGTCGAGAAGCAAAGTCTCTCCTGGGTTGGGATGAGGCGGGCAGGAGGATCCCTTAGCAGGCATTCCTGCTCCTGCAGCCACCACTGCCCCAATGGCAGCTGTGGCCATGTGTCTCCAGACGGCCCCGATCCCCCGGGAAATGGCTCAGCATCCCTCCCATCTGAGCACATGGCAGCCTTCATTGTAGGTGTGAGATCCGCTGGAGCGTATGCCATCGTCCTTCTGTAATGAGTAAAATTCTGTCTTTGCCTCCAAATTATCACAGGGACGTTACAGGAGAGCAGGCTGTGCTGTGCAGAGAGTCTCAAAGAAACGAGGAGCTGCGCTGTCTTCACTTCATCACTGGGATCTGCGTTCTTCAGGTGGGAAGACAAAGATAAGGAAACAGCCCAAAACACACAATGAGGAAAATTCAGCATATGCGTATGGAAGTTTGATTTGTCCTGAATTTTCTTTGGCGCTTTGTTCGGTATCCCTGCTTTCCTACTCATAACCAGCACCTTCTGAGCTCACTGCTGTCTCACAGGAGCATTACAGAATGTGGTTTGAGCACTGCACAGATGCAAAGTGGGCAGTGCCATCGGCCTCCATATCAGAGAGCTGTTCTACTTCTGAATGGAGATTTCTGCTCTCTATCCTAGATGTCTTGAAGTGATACCCAACGTTGCTGAGACAAAATCCCATAATGGAACCTAAGAGCGAGCAGCCTCATGGACAGAAGCTCTGCATATTGTGCTCATGTGGGATAACCAAACCTTTTCCTTCCCAGCCTCTCTCAGCCCAGCTGACGGCCGTAGATCGAGTTTCAGTGTGGAGCAAATGTTTATAACTGAGCAATAAACCCCTGAAGACAGAGCTTTATGGACAAATCCAGCGGTGGGAACGGGGCTACTGGGCACACCGGTAATTAGCGAGCAGTGCTGGGTCTGACTGAAGGCAGGAGAGGGGCTTGCCAGCTACCTGGTGTTAGGAGGTATCATTGCAGAGGATGGTAAATCACACTAAATCCTGCCTTAACACCCTGCACAATAAATCCAGCACCGAGTCCCACATTTCTCCCCCATCTGACAGGCAGCTAATTTACCGCTTTGTTTTTCTTTCACTAATGGCTGTTGAGGCTGATCCTAAATTAATCCTGAACAGGCTGTTTCTCTCTTATACAAAAGAACATGAAATTCCACATTTTCACGGGGTAAAAAAGCCAAGCTGCTCCCGATTGGAAGCAGAGCTGCTGTCTCAGAGGTTCCCATCTCAGCAGGTGCTGGTGCAGCAGCAGCACAGGGGCTTCAGGAGGTCCCACTCCTCCTGCTCAGCCACCCCAGGGCTTCATTCCCAGCACCATCTCTTCTTGCTTACAAGCGGCCCAGTGCAATCATGGAGAGGATCACCGGATTTACTCCTCCAACAGCAAAAGCATCAGCCTCAGCAGAGCACCACGCTGCTACCTCTAGGAGCATTGGACAGATTGCTGGCCAGTTTGCCATCCTACTGATATTTGCTTTCATTATTAAGGTGACACAAAAAGCCTCTGCTCTGAACCCTGAAGACCTGGTGCTCCCATCCAAACCCATAAATGGGAAAGGCATGGGAAACCTCACTGAGTGCCAGGTGCTCCTTTATTTGGGGCTTCCCTGGGATCCTCCCCTGGAAGCACTGATACCTTTCCGCGCCTGAATTCAGCACGTTTTGTTGTGTTAAGTAGCAAAATGAGCTGCAGGTCTAATGTTCAGCCACCAGAACCCCCCAGCCTGGGTGATGCTGCCTGGCTGGGCTCCAGCCGTCCCCTTGCAGAGCTTCTCGTCTCACTCCTCACAAAGCAGCGCTGCGCCCACTCCAAAGAGGAGACTCCTCCAGTTTGTGCAGAGAAAACAGAGCTCCCACAGCCCCAAGCTCACAGCTGGGGCACCCGGCTTCCCTTCCCATCGAAACTCTGCTCTTATCCTGACCGAGCTCCCCCAGCTACATCTCCTGCCCCACATCTCCCTGTGCCCCCAGCTGCTAGGTGACAACACCCCTGAGCAGAGTCCCCACCCCTCCCGGGGACACCCAGGTTGGCACCATCTCTGCACTTTCTCACTGTGAATGGCACATCCCCACCCTGAAGCTCCAGTGCTGAGCACCACAGCTTGGGGCAGACCGTGCTCTGCTCCGCCTGACATTAACCCTATCTGCAGATACCAGTGCCTACAAGTCCTCAGCTGGCACACAGGATGCATTACTCATGCCCCGTGCCTCATCAGCCTTTTGATAATATCTCAGCATAAGCAGAAAGCAGAGAAGACGCTCACAGAGACACCAGGAGGAAAGAGAGAACTTGCTGAAATCAACTCTGAAGCGCTGCAGCTCCAGACCTTCCCTGCTCTGCTTCTCCGCACCCTTCTTTGACAAAAAGGTTTGCTTTGCAGAAGGCTTATCTAGCACAGGATGATTGATAGCCTGGGCAATTGTTTTTAATAATATCTGAACACCTGCAGTCCTCAGTTCCCGGTAATACAGTTATCCCAAGTGCCTAACTTATTGCATAAACAACTGCTCTGGTTGCAAAGACAACTATCAAGTTCCCAACGCAGCCGCACTTGGGGGTCACGCACAGGGGCACGCAGGATCATTCCTCCCACACGGCCGTGGGGAGCTGCTCTGCTCTGGGATCGCTGCAACGTGCTGCCTTTCTCCGTGCTACAACACCATGGGCTCCTCAATCACCAGGCATGAGTGGGCAGGCGGTGACTGCATGCGCCAGCAGCACACGTGCATGCACCCAGCAAGCAGTCCTGCTCTGCAGCATCTCGTCTCTGCCTGGCATCACACGCATGCTGGGAAACGCTCCTTTTCTCGCTCGCTTCGAAGGGCCTTTTCCCCTGTTGTTTGAGGAATGCTGTTTGAATTAGCTCCACGGATTGCAAACAGACCCCGTTGTTTTCCTTTCCCGATGCAGGGAGGCTTCTGTTCTCTTTGGCCTGCTGGATTAACCGGGGGGCCTCACACGCTGACCCCTCTGCAGCTCAGGGAAGCTAATTTAATCCCAATATTGTTACAGATCACAGCAGGACAGATCTCGCAGATTCCTTGAGGCAAAGCAGCTCTCTGGCAGGGACAGCAGCGCTCTGTTTGTGGAGGCAGGAACTTCTGCAGTTTTTTTTTCTGTAAAATTTCCTCTACAAAACACGGGAGGCCGGGGAGCAGGCAGCAGCAGGGGGGTTTGCAGGGGCAGCTTTGGGCAGACAGTGGTCATGCAGGGAGCTGCTCCTCCTGCATTGCACAGAGCTGCTTCTCCTGCGTCCTGTAGCATCCCTTGGGAGGGTGGGGGCCATAAGCAAAGGTGATGCAGCCGAGCATCAACTCGCTATTTCTTTTCCTTGATATTTTTCCCCATGGCACGTGCACAAGCCCAAGAACCATCCTATGGATCATCCACCTTGCTGCCCCATGTGCTACCCCATGCATTACCCCATGCATTGCCCTCTGCTGGCTCTTAGTTTATCACTCTTCTCCAGCTCAGCTCCTTCTGCAAATGGGACATAGCTGGGAGATCCTTCTCCCCACTGCCCTTTCCTCCCTGCAGGATGCAGGTGCTCAGTGCTGCAGGCTCTGGGCAGACTGCTCACTTCCACCCAAAGTGGTTTGCTTCAGGAAAAACATCTTTGTAGCAGGACAATCATCTAAACCTCACTTGTGCTTTAGTGTGTGCCTTCACTC